TTGTATTTTTTCAAGAGCAATTTACAATTCCAAACAAGGCAAAAAATTTTTTTTTTACTTCCTCAATCTTCTTTTCTAAAGTATCTACATTTGAATCAGCCATCAAGATATCATCCACATAATGGATAATTACAGATTGAGGAAACTGTACACAAATCATTTCTAATGGCTGTCACATTAAATACTGACACTGGGTGGGGCTGTGTAACTTCCCTTGTGGGAAAAGTTTTCACTGATATCTCTTATCAGCCTGAGAATTATTATAAGTAGGCATTGTGAAGACAAATTTTTCTCTAGCCTTTTCTTGTAAACAATAAACAAACAGCAGTTTTTTAAATCAATAATTATAATTGGCCATCTTTTATGTAATCGAGAGGGCAGAGGAATTACAGGCTGTAAAGAGCCCATTGGCTGAATCACCTTAGTAACGGATCTTAGATCTGTTATCATTCTCCATTTTCCAGATTTCTTTTTTAAGAACAAATACAGGAGAAGTCCAAGGATTGGTCTATTCTTCTATATGTTGAGAATTTATCTGCTCCTGTGAATTTCCTGATGTCAAAGGGCATTGTTCCACCCAGATGGATTTGTCAGTTAAACATTTTAAAGGTAGAGCTGTTGGTACTTTTGAAAGATCAGCAGCTGTTGTGCCCTGTTTTTGTACAACCTGAATGGTCACTGACTGTTCTTTATAATACCTTTTAATATTTTTCTCAGAAACATATGCCAGTTTATGGTTTCTTTCTGAGATTGGAGGTTTTCCTCTGTTGTAGCCATTCACGTACCCACAAATTCATTGCTATGTTAGCCACATATGGCTTTAATTTTCTCTCTGTTTTTCTGGCCCTACACATTCAACCCATCTTATGCTCTCCCTTCACCAGAGAAAACGTTCTAGTCCCTAAAAGTTGAACATTTACTTCCTGCAGAGGCCAATTTGGATGTCAAGATTCAGGTACAACTATTGTTACATCCTCCCTCGTGTCTATACGACCCTCAATTACAATGTCATTTGTTTTTCTTTTTAGTTTTGGTCTCTGATCATTCACAAAAGTCTGCCAAAATATTTATTTGATGGTTTCTCCTGAAATTTTTGTTTTCTAAAATTGATGTATCATCTAGAACAGTATGGTTTTTAGTATCTATTTCTTTTTTTAATTGGGTGATACATCTTTCTCTGCTCCCCTCCCTTTCTAGCCTCTCCTGTACTTCCCCCCAACTCCCAATTTACTTAGGGGATTTTGTCTTTTTCTCTTTCCTATATAGATCCTTTTATGTCTCTCTTAGGGTCCCTATTTCTTTCTTTTTTTTAAAAAGTTATATATATTAGTGCTCTATCTGCATGTACCAGAAGATGGCATCAGAGCCCACTATAGATGGTTAATAGCCACCATGTGGGACCTGGGAATTGATTTCAGGATATCTGAAAGAGAATTCAGTAATCTTAAGTACTGAGCCATCTCTCTAGCCCCCAATATGGTTTTTAAAAAAGGCATTAGGTCCTATAATTGTTCGGGGATGAAGTTTCCTTCAACTAAATTTGACAAGGACCTCTGAGAGAGGTCCCCCAGGCATTTCTTGATGGCAAAGGGTTACCCTGTCTGTCCTTTGTTGATCTGCATACATTGGTCCTGTGGGCCTTTGCCTCATCTTCTGCCTACTCTAGAAGGCAGGGGTGTTCTGTTTGGATTAGTCCTAGAAGAAACATTGCTTTTAAAAATGCCCAGTCTATAAAAATTCCTTTTTAGATGACCTTGTTTACTACAATGAAAACATCTGACATTTTGTTTTTTTCTTTAACCCTCTGGAAATCCCCTCTCCTATGCAAGTATCTTCATGGTTATGATTTCAATATTGACTGTATCTCAGATCCATTCCTGTATGGGTGCTGACCTTTGTCAATGGAAGTTTCTGTCCAATTCATTCCCACAGTCGTTCAGTCCAAAAAAGAAACACCCAGAGGCTTATATTAATTATACACTGTTCATATACTATTAATTAGTTTATTAATTATAAACTATTAATTAACTCAGGATTATTATTAGCTAGCTTATACAACTTAAATTAACCCATTATTCTTATCTATGTGGCTTGGTACCTTTTCCCAGTGAGGTATTCTTATCTTGCTTTCTCTGTGTCTGGCTGGTGATTGATTCTGCCTTTCCTCTTCCGTGAATTCTCTTAGTCTAGTTGCCCCACCTATACATCCTGCCTGGCTACTGGACAATTAACATCTAATTAAACCAATAGCAGTGACAAATCTTTACAGTGTAAAAGAGCATTCTTCTATAGCCGATCTTGCCTTTAAAAGCCTAATTATCATTTGCTTTATGAATTAACATTTTCAAAAGCCAAAGATTCAATTATTTGTCTGGCTTCTGAATTTGGTATCATTCTATTCACAGCTAAAGTCAATCTTTGTAAAAAACAAACAAACAAACAAACAAACAAACAAACAAAAAACAGTGAAGGTTTCTTTTGGGTCCTGTATAACTTTAGTAAATGAATGAGTCCTCTTTCTGACTTCTTTTGTCCCAAGCATTCAAAGTTGCTGCATGACACAGAGTCAGGGTGTGGTCATAGTCATCATGTAGAGACTGACTTTGTATATCCGCATAATTGACCTCTTGAAGATGTTGGTCTTGGGAGATTTCAAGGCTTCTAGCCCACTTTGTTGTTCAGTGGTCCTAGCCTCAACTTCTTACCATATCCTCCACTGTAATTGTGGACCAGGTTCCAATATACTATTGTAATCAAGTCTTTCCAGTCATTTGGGACAATTCTATTACCAGTTGACCATGAATTTAACATCTGCTGAACAAAAGGTGAATGCATGCCATATAAAACTACAGCTTCCTTAAATCTCCTCAAATCTAACCTTTCCACAGGAACCTAGCCAGCTCTGACACAGCCTTGGGGTACTGCCATTTGACAGTTATTTCCAGGTGACTAAATAAATTAAGGCTGATTGTCTGACAGCCTTGGACTGTTCCTCTCTAAGTTTATGATGTAATGGTGTCATCGGTTCTCCTTTAAATTCCTCTTTCTATATCTGAGTATCTTCATTATCTGTTTTAATGAATTGTCTTAAGTCTTATAACTTATCAGACGAAATTCCATTATTTTCTTTAGTAATTAGTTCTAGGGCTTGCATATTGTCAGTAGTCACCATTTCTAAGGCCTTTATCTCTTGGCAGTCATATCAACCAACTTATTTAGGGATCAAACAAGATGTATCAAACCAATATTTATAATTGACATTATATAATCCCTTCTAAGTTAATTATCCCCTAAGTCTCTCCATCCTAACAGTGTTTCCCATTTTTGGATGTGGACAAAACCACTCTCCCTTTGTTTTTTGATCTAATCCCCCCTTTAAGAGTTCCCAATTGTCTTACCAAATCTGCTGATGATAACGGTAAAAGTCTGGGGCCAGCTGCCTCTGCTTAGCCTGTCTGAGCTGAAAAGCAGGCGGTGTCGATCCTGGCTGAGAACAGCTGTTCTGACCCTGTGTCCGCAGCCTGACGAGGGGTTCCAGGGAAGGCCCACACTTGTGGGGAGAAAAGGAGTCAAGCAGCCAGCAACCTGCAAGGGAAATGTGTGAACTCAGCCATGTGAGTGGCTGGAAGTGAAAGCACAGAGCTACCTGAAGGCAGAGCTGCTTGGTGCTGAGGGGCTAAAAACAGAGACATTTGGAGCCAAGCGCCTGTGGAGTTTGGGACTTGTGGACATTTGCTGTAGAGACTGCTATAGGAAAATTCCAGACTTGCTCAGAGGGATTGGGGAAGAAAGGGAAAGCCAGAGAGACATGAGGTGACTCCCCAGAGAAACACAGTTCTAACCCATGAACATGACAACCTTGTCTGTCTTTGTGATCCCATCTCAATCTGAGAGATGAGTCCAGTGCTCCTAAGCTGATCCCTAACCCCCTGCCTTGCTCCTAGCAATGCTCACACCATCCCCTGAACTTCTTTTTTAATAGTACTGATTTCTACATCTATGTACATATAGGTCACCTAAATGGGGTGTCTCCAATAGGAATCTCTGTCCAGAACTCCAGACGTACACTCAATACCTTCTCACAGAGTTCTCTAGACCAGCTCAGATTCAGCATGGCCCTAAACCTACTTCATTTTTGTTGTTTGTTTCCTTTATATTTTTTTCAAGACAGGGTTTCTCAGCATAGTCCTGGCTGTTCTGCAGCTCACTCTGTAGGGTGGCATCAAACTCAGAGATCCAACTGTTTTGGCTACTCAGTGCTGGAATTAAAAGGTGGATAATGAAAGACCCCCCGGTGTGGAGAGACTCTCACTCAAGTCTCAGGATAACACGACCCCACCCCCACCCCCAGTAACTCACGAGAGACCGTGCTGCATCACACGAGGTTTATTGACAGGTACCAGTGCACTGGGGCCGAGACTCATAACCCACGCAGGGAAGGAGTTGGACCCCGAGTGACCAAGAGAAGGTTTTTTTTTCTTTTTCACCTTTAAAAATATATATTTACAGAACAATTCCCCATTCTCTGGGACTCTTAGAAAAAAAGGTCCATTTTGGGGAAGTAAAACAAACAATGGAGACGAGTGTAGCACCGTCCCCCAAATCACCAGCCCCCAGGTCTTCAGGCCTGGTCTGGGCCAGTGCTGACAGGAGGTGAGCCTGGGAGTTTTTTGAATCCATTCCTTCCAGCCTAGAATTGATACAAGACAGGCTTCATGTTCCCCATTCCTCCCTCCCAACTCCAGGGACACTTAAAAGGGTCCTTTGCACCTGCCCGCAGGAAATTGGGGGGCTGGGAGGGAGGGAGCTGAAAATACACATTTGGTATCAAAAATAAACACTTGAGGTTGGCAGGAAGACCGCCTCCAAATCCATTACTTCCCACCCACCCGCCTACCCACCCATCATATATAGGAAGGGATGCTTCCCCCTCCCCTATCGAAAAGCCCCATTTAAAAATAGATTATACTATCAAAATGGAAGAAGATGGGAGACAGAGAGCCCTGGAGTACTTGCTGGAGGGGCCCCCCAGACGGGGACCACCACCCCAAAAAAACCCTCCATTGGGAGGTAATAGGCAGGCCCCCAGGGAATTTGGAGACAAAGGAATGGCTTCTCAGGGGAAGAACAAGAGGAGTATTCCTCCCTGGCTGAAAGCTTACTTGAGAAAGAACAAGCTGACTGAGAAGGTTGGGGAGGTAGCAATTCCTATGTGAACAGTGTGATTCTTCCTTGGCTACCACTCCCAAACCATTAAATCATACAAGTGCTTCCTGGACTCAGATATGGCCAGGAATAATAAAACAAAACAAACTAGCTCTTCAACCCAGGTTGCAAAATAAAGACAGGGCACCCTCATCTCCCCAAGGGCAGGCTGAGAAATAAATAAAGGTCCTTTTCAAGCCATACCCTGATTGTCTTGTTTTAGGGAGAAAACTGGGGAAAAAATGGGGGAGATGTCTTAGCCACTCTCCTAAAAGGGTTAGGCCAGATTCTTCCCAGTGGCCTTCAAAAAATAAATAAATAAACCGCGTCTACCATTCAAGTAGGAGACGTGTAAAGGCGGCCACTGGGAGGCTGGCAAAAAGAAAGAAAGAAAGAAGTTGTCTATTTTGGGTGGAAGTTAGTGAAAGATTCTCTCTTTCCCAGGAATATCCACCCCACCACGAGCAGAGCATGAGTCTGTCGGTTGAACTGTTTCTCCTTGAGATGGCTCGTTGGAGAGTTGAGGAGCAGGGATGGAGGGACTCCAGAAAGGGGGTGGTGGTGGAGTCATGGCTTCTGGGGCCCTGGGGAGAGCACCACGGGGGTCGAGAGGCCATCCACGCTGATGGAAGGGATGTGCACCTGTGCGCTGCCACTGGACGGAAACTGGAAGGAGAGCTTGGCTGGACTACGGGGTGCAATTGGACTCAGAGTGCTCCAGAAGTGAATGCTGGGGGGCAGTGAGCTGGGTGTCAGCAACACCGGGGTCAAGGTATGTGTGGGTAGCAGGGATGGCGTCAGTGCTGGCCCTGGTGCCTGCAGACCAGAGCCTGTTCCTGATCCAGGAGTCCGTTCAGGTCCTGGGCTACCCAGCAGGCTTGGGCTGAGTGGAAGTTCCAAATCCCGGGGCTTCCGGCCCTTCTGGGGTTGGGCGATCTCAGTGGCAGAGGCAGAGAGGCCACAAACCTGTGCTGTATTTTCCATGATGACAGCTGGGAGCCGAGCCAGAAGGTCTTCTGAGGGTGAGACTTCTGGTTCAGTTTTGACAGTTTCTGAACCGAAGCCTGCAGCCTCTACTGCTTGCAGTTCTTCCCTAGGTCCCTCCACTTTCACTTCTGGGGGCAGTGGACGGCCAAAACCTGGCTCCAGACTCAACTCTTCTGATTTCTGGTTTGTGGCCTCGGGTGGGGTCAGGATAACCTGCAGGGGCAGACCAGCCTCTTCAGCCTCCAAACAGGCTTCTATACTGGTGCTCCTGCTCCTCGAGGGAGGTGCTGGTACTCCTGCAGGGGTAGTGTTGGGGAGCACTGAGGCAGGCCGAGGATGCAGAGGTGGTGGTGGCTGTGGCTGCAGGGACTGGATTGTGAAGGTAGAGTAGAGGCCCGAGCGCATGTATTCGTTTCGGCTGCTGCGTGCTAAACCACCTTGGCCTGCCATTCCTGCACCCTTGGGTGTTCCTGGCTTTCCACTGGCAGTGTCCCCTGGGGCTGTATGGATAGCAGCAGGGGCCATGGCGACAGTCGAGGCTACAGACACCTCAGGCTGGGGTGGGCAGTCTTCAGTGGAGCACCCTGCAACCTCTGGGAAGGATACAAACTTGTAGACAAACTTCTGACCGCTCACCTTGCGGATGATATTCTTGTCGTAGTAGTACCGCAACGCCCGGCTGAGCTTGTCGTAATTCATGTTGGTCTTGTTCTTGCGCAGCCCCCACAGACGGGCCACCTCCTCTGCGTCCACCAACTTAAATTCACCGCCATCCCGTGAGGTCCAAGAGATGATGTGGCCGTTACCTTGTTCTCTCAGAAGCTGCAGCAGAAACTGCCACAGCGTCACAGACGGGTCCATCGCTAGGGAAGTGCTCACGCCATTCCAGAGGGACCTGCGTGTGGCCCGGCAGGGGCGGCGGCAGCTCTGGGGGGCGGGGGCTCCATGAGAGGCCCCACCGCCCCCCCAGGCCCGGGTTCCAAGGCGGCGGCGGCGGCGGCGGGAGCAACAGCGGCGGCAGCGGCAGCACCCAGAAGCCCGAGAAGGGGTTTTTATAGGAAGAAACCACAGCCCAATAATCCGAAAGGGGCAGGGAGGGTGTCACAGAAAATTCTGAAAATACCAGTGATGATCACAAGGAGGCAACTCCCTGTTTCTCAAAAAAAAAAAAAAGAGAGAGAGAAAGAAAAAGATTATTCTGAAGATTACAATCTAACTTTATCTTCAGCTAGTTCCTAAAACACAGTCACTGAACCGGCTAATCCTAGATTTCTGATTCTTTTCTCCCTGCTTAGATTTTTGGCTCTATTTTTTCCTGCAAGGGGGGTCTGGATTTATCCAGGTCTTTCAGTACCACCATTGCTTGGCCCAAACCTTCTTCGTAACATTCTTTCAAAAAAAAAAAAAATTATCCCGCCAACCTTTCCTCTTCATCTGAAAGCACTTCCTTCCTTCCATTGACTCACGACTCTCCTTAGTTTGTAGGTATAAAAGGCTGGAGGTGGCTTGGTGGATAAGAGATTGGTTGCTCTTTCATGGGTTCCAGTTCGATTCCCAGCACACACATGACAGCTCTATGGTCTAAACCTTCAGTCTCCAGCTACTGAAGCCGTTTTCCGGTCTCCCTGGGAGCTGAACATTACTTGCACAGACATACATTCGAGCAAAACACACATACGTATATACAAATAAGAGTATCTTCGTCTCACCATGCCACCGGCGCCCTGGGCTCATCCACTCAGTCTCCCATCTCTCCCGAAGCGCATCTGCACGCCCCTCAACACGTGGGTCTTGCTGTAGAGAAAACTTCTTGCGCCTCCGTGGCACTGGGTGACAGACCGGGACCTCCCACAACCAGGCTGCCCAGTCCGCATCAGCCTGGTGAGGTTGAAAAGACCTGGGCAGGGGCTGCCTCTGACCTCAGATGAGCGCAGGGCGGTCTGCAAGCTCTGCCCGGGGCCACTGCACCATCCCTGGCCGAGTTAGTCAGGGCGGCCGCCACCTGCACACTCGGGGCTGAGCGAAGCTGCTCCGGGCTGGGACCCAGGGAAGTTCCGCTGGCCCGTGCTGTCCTGTACCGTCGTCATCTAGGCGGCATATTCTCCAGTCTCTGAGTTACTTAACCTAGGAGGCAGCAGGAACTCAGACTCTCGATCTCCTATAAAGCGAAGCCGGAAGTGCCTCCTTTGACGCAAAGCGCTGAGGCTTCTGGGTAATGTAGTATCCTCCAGCCATGGCCCTTCAAGGGAGAACTCCCTAAAGTTGGAACATCAGTATGCACAGACACTTGGCCAGCAGCCTCGCTAGTACCCCGAAGTTATGGTCTCGCTCCTGCAACAGGGGGCGTCGTTCTGTGATCGCCATGGAAAGGATTGCAGCGAATCACAGAAGTGTAGAGAGTCCTTATTTCAGATATTCTCCAATGCTACAAAATCAGATTACACAGGCAACCAGATTTGTGTGACCCAAGAATTGTGTTCACCTGATGACCTTTGAGTTAATAGTATTCCCTTATTTCTATGCAGATGTGTGTGAACTGACTCTTTATAAAGTCAGTTGTGGGGCTGGGGAGATGGCTCAACAGGTAAAGGCACTTGCTCCCTACCCTGGCAACAGGAGTTCAAGTCCCGGGACCTGCAAGGCAGGAGAGCAATTTGACCTCTATATATACACACACAAATGCACATACACACAAAGGGACACACACTATTATTATCCCCCTACCCCAAACAAATATAACAAAGTAAGTCATGGTCCCAGAAGCCTGAGACAGCGCCCACATCCCAGCTGTGGTTGGGTTTGATAGATGGGACCCAGAGGCCTAGAGGGGCATCTTAACTCATGGACACTATACATACACAATTGGCCATTGTCCCAAGCAGTGGGAAGAAGGAAGAGATTTTTCTGTCTGGAGCCTGTGTGATCCTCAGCAGACACTCGGCTTCTCTGACCCTTCACGGTTCCATGTTCCTGGGGACTTCATTTGGGGATGTCATGTATGTGCCCTATGGACCATGGCCCATGAGAGTGACAGACACTCTGGCTGTGTTGACTGCGGTCTCCTACATCCCCTAATGTGTTTTTCAGGGGCATTTTGGCAGCGTTGCAATTCAGTAGTGACAATTCAAAGTCCCACTGGTTGTCCCTGCCATGTCCCAACCCACTCAATGCCCATCGCCAAATCCAAACAGTTCAGGCTCCCCTGTGAATTGCAAGGCTTTTATTGTTGGAATCCTGTTTTTAGACACCTGGAGGGTAGGGGTAGGGCTTGCCGCATCTATGCAGGTGAGCAGACAAGTGACTTCCTTGAGTTTTCGGGCAAAGACGAATTCATCAACAGAGAGGGTTAGCATCTATTTTATCCTGCAAAGAGAAAGGTGGCAAAGCGTCAGACGTGGAGATCTCAGCAGTCATACACGGGACACCACTTGGGAGGGACCTGCACTCTGTCTGCAACAGCTCCTGGGTCTGACTTGGCCCAGGGAGCCTCCTCTCCATTCTGTCTCCAGCAAACCACACCAGGGCGAGCCTTGTAAACAGCCTCCAATCCAGCCTGATGGGAAGAGCCACCTGCCCTCGGCACACCATGGGCACATGTGGGGCAGAATGGAGAAGCAGCTGGGGAGGGCCTGGCAGGTCTCCAGGTGAGCCTGCGGGCAGCTGTGGCCCTACAATGAACTGATTCCGGTCACATGATGACCTCAGAGACATGCAGCTGGGGCGGTGACAATCCTGACAGTTCTAAGGACAAGATGGGATTCAATTAGATTCTGCAGCTGAGTGACCCAGGCCTGGATTCTACACAGTGACCTCAGAGATCCAGGGGACAATAAAAATGATGAGTGTTTGGGGGTGTGATGATAGACTTGAAAAGTTAGGACAAAAGATCCCGTCTGGAGAAGGGGTGCCAGGTACTGATTTTTCTGGACTCAGGAGGCTGGGGCAGAAAACCTGATGGAGACCAACTGGTACTGTGGGAGCAGGGGTCTTGGGGGTCTGGTCTGCCTTGACTGAGCTGTGCAGCCAGTGTCCTTCCTGCCCCTTCCTCCTGACATCTTTCTGGATTCACAGAGGAGCTGCAGTGCTGGGGAGGAACACAGGCTCCATCCCTAAGCTGGGGTGAGCAGGTGGGCACACAGGCTCTGATCCAGACACACAGAGAACTCACCATCAAACTCTGCACATTTGCCTTGTCTTCCTCTGTCAGCTTGTTATCAACACATATCTTCAGATTTTCAGCATTTTTCAATACGGCAGACTCGTTCCTGTACTGGCTCACAAATTCCACATAGTCAGGCACAGACGGGCCAAGAAAAAGAGCACTGTCCTCCTTCAAAGCAGGGCAAATGCCACAATCTGAAACACGAAGAAAAGGTGATTCTCCATTGAAAGCCTTACATCAGAACACAGATGTCCTTCCTGGGGAGTGAGGGTGTGAGAGCCCTGGAGACCCTGCATCCCTGACAACCACACCCTAGTACTCACTTTCCCCTGAGGTCACCCACACCCTGAAACCTTCTTCCACGAGGTCACCCACATCCCTGTACCCACTTCACAGAGGTCACCCCAACCCTAGAACCCACTTCCCCCTGAAGTCAGGAGCAGGGCAGCCCCAAGCAACACGAGAGCACCAGTGAGCTTCATGGTAATGGTGGCAGGTGCTCCTACTCAGCTTGGGCCCCATTTGTAACTGCCCTGGGCATCTCAGGGAGTGGGGAGGGGCAGGTTCTGAGCTCTCCAAGCCCCTCCCAGAACCCTGCTTGAACCTCCCTGGGGCTGTGTCAGGGAGAGATGTGTGTTTTGGCAAGAGAGTAAGATCCTGGTCAACAAAGGACCTAGGTTCAGCCTGGTCCCTTCTTAGTGCTCTGCTTAAGGTCACATGTCATGTGAAGACCCAGGAAGTAGTGAGCAGGACGAGGTCCAGGTCCCTCCATCAGGCCTCCAGAGTGAGGTATCTGTACCCTCTCACACCAGGGAACTTGACGTCTATTAAAAGCCTCCCTAGTAGTCAATGTCTAGGGTAGACAAGACCTCTGACCACTTGGGGACCCTGCTCTGACTGTTTCTGTCCCTGCCCCCATCTTTCACTTGCTTCACTGCTCCATTGAAGCCGACTCTCACCCTGAACTCCTCCTGCTTTTGGAGTCATCTTTAACTCCATCTTTTCGTGGTTTTGATGTAGGGTGTTTCTACACAAGCCTAGTTGTCCTGGAATTCACTATCTAGACCAGGCTGGCCTGGAAATCACATAGACTCACCTGACTCTTGATGCCAGCTCTGGCCATTCCGAATTCTCCATAGATTTCTTAGGAAAACTAGAGGGCAATCTCAGCTGGTTGCCCCAGATTCTGAAGACACAGGCTCTGTCTGTCTGGTTCAGAGTGTCTAGAAGAGTTTTTCTATCACAGAAATCTAGATGGCCCTTCCACCATTTCTACCTGAGCCAGAGGGGCAGCACCTTTCCTTCCCCCACTGAGAGGCCCAGCAGAGGGGGCTGCTAAGAGGCAGGCTGTGGTAGGCTCCAGTGCCCCTCTGGCCTATGGAGGGGGGCAGCTCAGACCCATGCACTGTCCTGAGAGACATGCATGACTCTCTCCCCGGGACTGACATTGTAGGCCTCAAGAGAGGATTCTGCCTTTTGTCTGCCCTACTTTCAGGAGTGTGGGCTGAACAGACAGGGACAGCGATGGAGAAGGAGGCAGTAGGCAGAGGAGCAAAGTCTGAGGCAGGAGAATGACAATTGAGTGGTCAGGAGGCAGGCACCTTGATGTGTGCACGCTGAAGCATTGGACAGGGACAGGGACAGGAAAAGGAAAGGTCACAGAAAGAGAGGCAGAGCAGAGTCTGAGGAAGGATCAAAGGGGACAGATCCAGAGGACAGAAACTTCAGGACCTGTTTGACAAAGAGGTTCAGGGAGTGTTGGCGTCTTTAGACACAAGAGCCTCACCAGGGCAAAGACCACAGCACTGCTGAGTGCCTAGAAGGACTGACATCCTGCCAGGAGTCTCTGTGTCCCATGCTGGTGTGAGGCCTGTTCACTAGAGGGTTCCTCCTGCTGCTGCTCCCATCTGCCAGCTGCTTCTGCTCCTGCTGGGACACATGGAGGGCAATGAAAGCTGCCCAATCCAGAACCTGGAGAGTGCCCCTTCCTGCACCCATTTCTACCTTTGTGAGCAGAGGGATCCCAGACAGCTAACTGGGGCACACCTGCCTCAGCCTCCCACAAGCAAACGGGGATTCCATGTGGGAAACACCATGTCTTCCCCTCATTTCTCTGGACTTTGCCAGTCCCCTGACCACTCTGTGCCTGGAAACCAGAACTCCATTACCCTGGCCTGTTTGTCATCCGAAGCATCTCTGTACCAGGTACGGAACCACATCTTCATAAGCATGACCCCAGGGAGAACCTGGACGTCCACATGCTCTGCCCTCATGTCTGATGTGCTGGCTGGGAGATTTAATGCTTCATTCCCCAGACTGCATCCAACACCCACCAAATCAGAGGACAGCCTGCTATGTCATCCACATGGCTAGGCCACACCAAACCCCACCTTGCACCCTGGTCGCCGTGTGGCAGGTGAGCGGCAGTGCATGGTGTGTGGCTGTAAAGCATGTGCAGCCTCTGCTCTCTTATTGTCTTCTGCCAGTCCCACCTCCCCCACCCCTCACGCTGCCCTTCTGCTCTGCACCAGGAGCTCAGACAGGGCAAGGCACTGGGTGGATGTGGCTGCTCTGTCTTAAACTTTCAAGACCCCAGACCATGAACCAAGTTAACTTCTTTCCCATGTACCTATCCTGGGTGTTTTGTCATAGCAATGGAACATGGCTTATACACCTCAGTGCACCTGGACCCCTCTTATCTTAGAACACAGCAAGCCTCCACCAGAGCACTGGGCTCTAAACCCTGTCGTCACTTCCTTAAGTCCCCTTGCATTGTCTGATTTTGGTGTCCCTTAGGTGACTAACATCGACAGCACATAGGAGGTCTCCACAGATGCTGGGTAGATGGGTGAAAGGTCTAGTTCACTTCTCTCAAGTCCATAAACAAGACCTTTCTTAAGACATGAAACCAACAGCCAGGCAGTGGTGACACAAACCTTCAATCCTAGCACTTGGGAGGGAGACGGGCAGATCTCTGTTGAGTTCAAAGCTAGCATGTTCTACAGAATGAGTTGCAGGACAGAGAAGACTGTTTCACTGAGAAACCCTGTCTTGAAAAACCAAACCAAACCAAAACCAAAAAGCCATGAAACAAACAGTATCTTCCCACAGAGCCTAGGCTGGCTTCAAACTCTCAGCCTTCTGGCTCCACTTCCCTGTTTAAATTTTACAAGTGCTTATAGAATGTGTCTGGTATTAATTTTTGAAAGTAAAGAGTCTAAGTATCTCTTAAGTCAGAACTAAGTAGTTTGTTGTCAAAGGCTCATGGCTGTCACTTTGTCTCCATCAATGGTGACAGATGAAGTTTTCCAAAGACTCAGAGAACCAAGAACCTTTTGACTTACTGGTTAGCCAAGCCAAACAGGATTTGCATCCGGTAACTGTTTTCGAAAAGAGGTGCCTAGCGCCAAGGCCCACTTATGAGCTGTCCACTCTGTCCTGTCTTCCTTGTGCTTGTGACCTTATAGTTCCCGAGGGCTGCTGAGGCCTGCACAATATCCCTGCCCAGCTGAGGCCTTCTCTTTCTTGGAAGTATTAGGAATGGAGACGAGGGCAGACTGTGGCTAAGGTGTGTCTGCTGCTGGCTGACACCTGTAGCCCCCTGCTACCTGTCAGAGCTGGCATCAGGCTTTCTGTAGATCTCACAGAGGTTAAGACCCTTGACCCCACATGTCAGAGGACATAAGACATATACACCTTTCCACAGTAATTGTAACTGCTCACTACAACCATTAGTATTCTCTTACAAGATGTCTCTACTGTTTTCCCAGCTCCTCACGGTTTCCTATTTGTGTTCATGTGTGTGTGTGTCTATGAACTCACACAAATCTTCATTTGTGTGTGTGGATACATGGTATGCAGGCTATTTTTAAGTCACCTTGACACAAGCTAAAGTCATTGGGGAGGAAGGAACCTCAATTATGAACTTGCCTCCTCATGGTAGTGCTGGAACACGCCTTTAGTCCCAGTATTTGGGAACCAAAGGCAAGGATTTCTTTGATTTTGAGGCCAGTCTGATCTACAGAGAGTTCTATGATGGTCAGGGCTGCACAGATACCCTGTTTTGAAACACCAAAAAAGTAAAGAAAAGACAAGAAAAAGAAAAATGCCTCCATACGTTTGACTGTAGGGATGCCGGTGAGGTATTTTCTCTCCCTCACACCTCAGACAGATTTTCTCTGTGTAGCCCAGGCTGTCTTGGAAATCACTCTGTAGACCAGGCTATCCTCAAACTCAGAGATTTGCCTGCCTGTGCCTCCCTAGGGCTGGGGTTAAAAGCATGCACCACCAACACCTGGCCAGGCATTTTCTTGATTACTGATTAATGGGGGATGGACAGGCCATTGTTAATGGGGCCATCACTGAGCAGGTGGCCCTGGGTTCTATAAGAAAGCAGGTTGAGCAAGCCATGGGAAACAAACCAGTAAGGAGCACCCATCCTGGGCCTCTGCATCAACTCCTGCCTCCAGGCTCCTGCCCTGCTTGAGTGTCCTGACTTCGAGGTTGAATGGTTAAGTCAAATAAACCCTATCCCCCATGATTAGCTTTTGGTCATGGTGTTTAATCACAGCAATAGCAATCTATCTATCTATCTATCTATCATCTATCTATCTATCTATCTATCTATCTATCTATCTATCTATCTATTATTTATTTATTCCTGATAGGGTTTCTTTATGTAGTAACTTCTATCATGGAACTCTCTTTGTAGACCACGATGTCCTTGAACTCACAGAGGACCACCTGCCTCTTCATCCTGAGTGCTGGATCAAAGGCGTGCGCCACCAGGACCAGCTGAGAAAAAGCCATCTACTCTAAAGCACGTGCCATACATATGTGTATGCAAATGGTAGGCAGAGATAGACAGTCAGGTGCCTTCAGTAGCTCTCCAACTTATCAATGTCTATGTGTGTGTATATGTGTGTGTGTTTTTAGTTTTGATTATGTGCCTGGAAATTTTTTTCTGCATGAATATCATATGATCTGTGTCCAGTGCCTGTTGAGGTCGGAGGAGGGTGTTGGATCCTCTGGACTGGAGTGACAGATTGTTGGGAGCTGTCATGTGGGTACTTGGTCCTCTTAACAGCTGACCACCTTATAGCTTTTGACACAGGGTCTCTTACTGAACTTGGAGTTTGCTAATTTGAAAAGATTGACTGGCCAGTGACCTCCAGGGTTGGACTCCCTAGGGCTGGGACACAAGGTGTGCTATTGTGCCTGGCTTTCCTATTGGGTTCTGGGGATTGAAATTCAAGTATTCATGCTTACACAGCAAGCACTTTCCTGACAGATCCATGCCCCTGGCCATCTTGCTTCTGTCTTTGGAAACACATGCTCACTCTGAAGGACTGAAGGAAGTAATTCCCCTGCCCAGAGGATAGGAACATCTAGAAATAGTCATGGTTTCTTCTGGAAGAACACTGTCTTTCATTCCTATTTATCTGCTCATCCAACCATGCATGCCAGCATGGACTCATGTTAT